GTTTGTATACTTATCAAGCTGAAAATGCTTGTTGACATAAGTGAAAGCTCAGATGAGCTTTTCTAACTGAAGGGTGTCTGACATCTGTCTGTCCATGCGTCTTCCTTAAACTTTTACCAATTTTCAACTTCTTCAGAACCAACGGGCTAATTTCAACTAAATTTGCCACATTGGATCTTTCGGTGAATGGAATTTTAAGTTGTTCTCAAAAACTACTGATTCAGAAATAAATGAATGAAATAAAACTAAAAGAAAAAAATTAAGGTGACAGCTTTCTGACAAAATGTTTATATAACACTCCTATTGGGTAGTATGGGAGAACAAAAGAGGATCAGTTTTACGTGAGAATATATAGAAAATAGAAAAAGGTATTTTAAAACGTCTTCTCAAGATTCAAGTATTTTTACATCAATACCCCCGAACCTGAAGTAGGTTGGTTTACAATAGGACGATTTAACATAGGAATATATAAGAAAAATTCTTTAAAATTCTTGTTCTAAAGAATGGTAGACTATGATATTAGATATTAATATGCAAGAATCCTTAATAAAAACACATTTAAAGGACAAGGTATGGTAAGGGCCGAATCTGGCCCCTTGTTTGATGTAAAAATCATAACACAGTTAAAATTGTGATAGTTTTTAGTTAAGAACTTAAAATGATGCTTGTTTGAGAACCAGCACTAATTTTGATTCAAACCTACAAGGAGGCCACAAGAGGGTGCAGAAGTACGGCATTTTCCCGAATTTCCTCAATCTGGTCGAATTTCATCAAATTTGCAATACTTTTCACTTCGGAAAACATAGAGCACAAGCTTGCCTATCTGAGATTTTTATACATAAGATGCATCTGATACTATTGTATGAAATATATAAATTTGGTAGATAGGCAAGCTTGTGCTCTATGTTTTCTGAACCAAAATGTGCTGTAAAATCGATGAAAATTTGCATAAAAGTGAGAAAATTTGGAAATTGACCTTCCTGTGACCTCTGTGAATCCTGTAACTTAGAAACAATACTCAATTTGTGGCAGGGGTGACAACAGGTTTTTAATTGATAAATTGTTGCATCATTCTAAAAGACACCCCAAACCAGGGGCCAAAAAGGGGTTTTAGCCTATCTTGTCCTTTGTACCAATTGTGATAAGGAAAGGGAATAGAATGACGCTCCAATAAGGGATTACATTTACATCGGAATCTGTAGGGAATTTATTGAAAAAAAAAAATCAAAATAAAAAAAGTCGCACTAAATCGTAGTAATATTCATGCTTTTAACTTGTATTTATTGATTTTTTTTTCAGAATTCAGAGATCAAGCTTCATCTATGCACAAAACAACTATTTAAGAAAAATTTTCTTTCCCTAGAACAGCAAAGTCATGCTATTATATTAAGATATCCATTATGTGCAGATTGATGTTCCTGTATTTCAAGAGACTCCCCAGGGTGGGGTCACTTCATAGGGTACTTTTTTGCAAATAAATCGGGGAAAACCCCTTTAAAGTTTAAATCAACTCATGACCAAATGGGCTAAGGTAGCTCAGGGACGCTATGACAATGGGTCTCTCTTTTTTTCAGGAGCTGGCTGGATCTTGTAAGTCAACATCGTGTAAAGGGCAGTGCACTGCTCTGAGTAGAGGAAAAACGTTCTGTACAAAAGAAAGTAAGTAATTAAAAAGGATTATTTTACCCGTTCTGAAAAAGAAAATCCCTAAAATCTTTTATTGCATTTTGAAAAAAAAATCGATTTTTTTTAGACTAGAACAAAAATTGACGAGACTTTGAGTTATTAATGAGATTGAAAGAAAAAATGTTATCAGTATTTTTTTTCGCAGTTCATCATTAAAGATAATTATTAACATATCATATAGAGTGAGAGAACAAAAAAATCTTAGATATTTCTTAAGAAAATATGAATAACAACTATTATGCAAATTCTTGTTGAAAATTTATAATCCTATATTTCCAGGAGAAAAAAAAAACAATATGTATACACGCATCTTAAAAAAAAATACAAGTATCTTTTAATAATATTTCTCTGGTATTTCAGTTTTATTTACTTCAATTTGATACATAGCATTGTGTAAATAGGATGCTGTATGAATGTTTTATGAATGACTAAGACGTGAATACGGAAGACAACTTTTTTTACGACTGACACTTTTGATCGCCTCTGATTGTTACTTAAGGACTAATGACCCTTTGCTCTAAATTTCATAATTTTTTAAAAACTTTCCAACATTGATTTTCATTAACAGCTATAGCATCAGCTTCAAATGGAAAATATACTGAAACGCAAAAGAAACGCAACTTCCTAACTTTAGGGTGAAGATTATATACAAGTTATAACTTTGTACTTAAAAAGTTAGGACATCTTCAACTTTGCCAAATCAGTAATTTAACGTTGAATGATTTTCATTCAATTACCGGAAGTTGATTTTGAGCCCTCTTAACAGAAATAAAAAATTGCATGTTTAATAAAACATTTGACAATAATTTGGATTTTCAAGGGTTTGTAGCTGTTAATCATAAGTATTGCATTAATATTCCGGAAAAAAATCTTTTTTTTTTTCTTTTCCCGATGTGATGCAAATATCTACTCAAAATGATTGAAAGCATGCATTTTCATTGCTCTTGCTGGAAGTTCTCAAAATAAAGGTAAAAGAGAGTTGCAGATGCAAATATGCACTACATAACGACTTATCAGGCTCATACGTTTCAAAAGCATGATTGACAGTTCTTTGAGATTGATAAGCCTAAGAGTTATGATACTTTCTAAGGTTTAAAGATAACATTCAAAAATGAATATAGTAAGGTAAAAAGTAAATTTACAAACATCAGATTTTTTATTTAAACGTTGAATGTTATCTTTAAACCTTAAAAGTATCACTGACATAACTCTTAAAACATTCCCCCTTCCGAACATTCAATTACAACGTGCTAGTCCGCCATGTACAACAATTGCAGTTCGATTTCTACGATGCATCAGGTTTATCAATCTCTTGATCTGAGCGAAAGAAATATTCTTAAGCATTTTTAAGTGACTGTTTTTCAGATACTGAGGTCGAATTTTCTCTAACCTGACGTAGTGTAGTAACCCTTGGACTTCCGGTCAAAGAACTGTCATTCATGCTTTTGAAATGCATAAGCCTGATGAGTCGTTATGTAGTGCATATTTGCATCTGCAACTCTCCTTTACCTTTATTTTGAGAATTTCCAGCAAGAGCGATGAAAATGCGTGCTTTCAGTAATTTTGAGGAAATATTGGTATCCCATCGGGAAAAGAAAGAAGGATTTTTTTTTTCGGAATATCAATGCAATACTTATGATTAACAGCTACAAAGCCTTGAAGACCCAATTTATTGTCACATGTTTCAATAAACATGCAATTTTTTGATTTCTGTTAAGAAGGCTCAAAATCAACTTCCGGTAATGGAATGAAAATTATTCAACCGTTAAATTACTGATTTGGCAAAGTTGAAGATGTCCTAACTTTTTAAGTACAAAGTTATAACCTGTATATAATTTCCCCCCTAAAATTAGGATGTTGCATTTCAGTATAGTATGAAGTATGAAGCGATGCTTTTTTTTTTCAGAAAAGATTTTTATGTCGGATCATGATATGAAGAAATTTTAACACAGTGCACAGAGGATTGAAAGAGTAATGATTTATTATCACAACATGAAATTAAAAATATGAGGTGTATATGAAAATAATATTCAGTATCATACCTATTAAATTCATATTAGAAAACATAATTAAGCGCTGCCTTCTAAGTCAGAATATCACAATGTTCTATGTAGTTGATACAAAAAGAATACATCTGTTAGCAAGAGTTATCTTTCTTATAGATTTTTTTTTTTTTTTCATTGGAAAAAAATGCAATACTAATAAAAATTCTACATTTGGTACTTGAAACATTAAACCATTTTTAAGATGGTCCTTAAAAAGATAGAGCTTATTCAATTTATGAGAGTTTTTATACTGAATTTTATTTTTTTTTTTATTTTTTTTTTTATTTTTTTTATTTTTTTTGGGGGGGGGGGGTAATAAAATATTACAATTTGAAAATGTGTAGCCAAAGGAAATAGAAGGTAATGTTTCCATCTTATGTCAGGTTTGATCGAACTGACTACTCTAAAGTCTCGACAAAGAAACTCTGATAATGAAAACTTTAAGTCGCATTCGTATTTTTAACTTGGAAAGTTATCTCTCTTATCAAAGGGTCGGTCCCCCTTAAATTAAGATTAATTAAATTAATTTTTTCCCTTTGAATTACAGTGGATTATTAATTAATTAATTTATCTATAATAATTTCTAAGGAAAATTAATAATTTATATTTTGTATAGTTTCACGTATGTCTTACCTGTGGTATAGAGTCTTTTAAAGATTTTGATGGACCTTTTTCCGACTGTGTACTCTTTGTAGTTTTGTACAAAGCCAAAGTCAGAATATTTTTTTTTATTTTCATGAAACTGTTGGGATCATTGAATGTTCTTTTAAGTGTTTGAATTAGTTCTTAAAGTGTTGTTTTTAAGAGTCAGAAAAATATGCTACAAAATATGCTATAAAAAATGCTTTTTATATTATTATTATTATTATTATTATTATTTAAAATTGGCACCGTTTTTGGAAAGAAGTAAAACATATTAATTTTTCCATAAACAAGTGCTTGAAAAATTGGAAATTAATTTGCATAACCTACCAAGAAACTCATTATCGAAGAGAAAATTATAAAATAATCTTTTAGATGAATAAATTTTTTAGTACATTTAATGCATGACCAAACGCTTTTAACTTTTAATATCCTTAGTGGTATGGTACAATACGAAAACAGATATGTCAGCAATGCAAACCCGATAAACATTGATCTAATCGATTATTATAAAATAACAATTATTATTAAATAACTGCGTAGTGAAGTTAGTTTTGGTTACTAAAACTATATTTATTCCCTTAAAGTTCCAATGTGGTCATTTATACTACTATATTGCAGAATGTCCGACATCATGGAAGATAAACGGAGAGAAGAAATATTGCTTTATGAACAATTCTCTTGAGTGGCAGGATGCCAAGGTATGTCTTTAAAGAGGGCATGATAGTCGTGGCCTTTCTTTGAGTATCTAAACCCTATGAAGAAGTTAAGAGGTCTCTTATCATACGTCATGGTATGCCGATGAAGGGCTTCAAAGTAAGACCTCTACTCGGCACTCATGGCTATTTAGTAGTAAGATCTTGATTATGCTAACGCCTGCAGTGACGCGGGGCCTAGGTTCTTAAGGTCTCATCCGAAAGACCCGCAACTTCAAAGTGCCGATGCTTGAACCCACCACTTTCTGATCATGGAGCGATCACTCTACCAACTAAGCTACCCTGAAGGCCGAATAAAATATAGGAAATTTCATTCAATGTTATGGCTATAAATGAGGTTTTTCTGTATAAAATGATTGTGCATCCTAGAAAAAAAAAATCATATACCATTTTTTTTTCTGGGGTCATCTCTCTGGAAATTTTCTGACATCTCGATCTCCTTAACAGAATACCGTCACGGTAGCTCAGTCGGTAGAGCGTTCGCTCCATGATCGGAAGGTCGTGGGTTCGAATCACGACCGCGACTGACCTAAGTCGATAAAAAATAGGTAGCAACTGTTTCTTCGCCAAGAGCTCGGCACTTTGAAATGAAAGTTGCAGGTCCTTCGGATAAGACCTTAAAACCGAGGCCCGTGCGTTGGCACGATGAAGAGCACTCACTGCTCGATGGCCCTGAGTGCCGAGTAAAAGTCTAAATGTGAAGCCTTTCACCGGTATACGATGACGTCTCTGTATATGTGAAAAATTCTGGAACGGTACGTAAAACAACATACAATCAATCAATCAATCAATCCTTAACAAAATAATGCTGTTTTCTACAACTTTTACTCATAAATGTCAGAACATTGATATCGTGAAAAGAGCCTACAGATTTTCTTTAGTTTTGCTTTTTGAAAGATATTAGGCATAAACAACCAAAGAGGCTGCTTTTCAACCTGTTTTTTTCTCTCACAAAAAAATAATAATGATAATAATAATAATTTTTAAGTTTCTCCTAATACTAATAATAGCTATGTATTTTTCGTCTGAATAAAAAGGTTTCCTTTTCTGTGGCAAACGTATTCATTGCGGAGAATGTTTTAACCACTCGAAAACATTCTTCGAATACATGTGCATGGTTTCCGAACAAAACAGAGATATATTCAAATCAATGGCAGACAATTCGTTATCAATCAGATCAATAAAAATGTCTCAATCAAAATGGTGCATTTCATACAGTGTTACGTTTAAGAACTAAAAAAGTTTTTTCTCTTAAATTTTTTAACGATACTAAAGTACTGTTCTTAAACGAGAACATTTTCATGTTATGGTGCCAGCTTTTCTCTAGTGCACTTAAATATTCTAACGTACTCCGCCAAAATATAATATAGTGAATGTTTAGAAATCAAATTGACGATATATCATGATTTCGCCAGATGAACCTTGAAATAGGTGTCATTTAATGCACAGGAATTATTTTTTTATTTAATTGTAGTGACTTTTTCAGGCTATATTTTAATTCTAATCAATTGCAACCAAATAGAGACAATTTATTGTGATTTGAATATTAAATAAAGATAATTGTTTTAAGATCAAAAATTAAAGTTCAAAAGTGTTTCTCCTTAAATGGCTTTCCAAACTAGAAGTGAAAAATACTAGTAATCTGAGGATGTTTAAAACAACTGCTAAAGAAAGACAATATATATAGAAAAATACTTTGGAAAAAAGACAAACTTGTACAAAAAATTTACATAAAACTCTTATGTGCCCTTTGATAACAATTACCAATGAAGGTTAAGGAAGGATAAATTTTCTCGTTTTTTAATCAACGGTTTCTTTGTCCGCCAATTTCTTTGAAAGTGAAGTGAAAAGATTTCACTGATAGTGTGGGTAACATATTTTTTAAACAAAGAAAATTGTATCGATTTAATTGCTTTCAGATCAATTAATAGCATGTGTTAAAACAATATGAAAAAGACATTAATTTGAAATATATCAATTCAACTAGCATTATTTTCTCTCTCGGATATCCGCATTCCGCATGTACCCTTGAGTGAATATATTTTTCTTTCATTTTATCCTCTCAGGATAGCTGCATTTCGATGGGAGCACATCTTCTGGCAATAGAGACGGAGGCTGAACAAATATGGATTCAAAACGAAAGTACGGTTTGCGTTTTCTTCGTTCATTTTAAGTACTGAAAATTTGTTCTTTAAAATGTATTTATAAAACAAAGTTGAGAAGATCAATATCATCAATATTTTCTTCTTTACACATACAAGCACTATAGTTACTAAAAAGTATGGTGAATTCAATACGGATCGAACATCCTCTTACTTTTAAGATGAATTATTGCTATACCTGATACTTACAATATCTTTGTGGACATTAGTTAAAAGTTATTGTAAATAAATAGCAATTAATAGCAATTATTGGACGGATAAATACCGATGTTGTCGAATTATCTGGAAAATCTTGGATTGGATATTCTGAATAGTTTTGAATCAAATGATGTAAACTAAATTGAAATTTAAATTTTAGCAAAAAAGAAAAAAAAAAGATAAATAAAATCTTATGTAAGTACCACTGAAATAAAAATTATTTTATAAATCAGCATCGAAGTTTTTAAACTGTAGATTAACTAATTAATAAGAGATGGAAGATCATGTTTTTATGAAATAAGTATACGTTAGAAAATAAATGAAACATAAAGGAAATTAAGAAATAATTAAATCTTAAACCATTTTTTAGAATAATATTTATCTAACAATGAGAGGATTTATTATATGTTTATACCCGCACTTTCTAAAGAAAGATCGGGTATATTGTTGTTACTCATGTCTGTCCGTCCGTCTTTTGGGAGATGGATGGTGGTGTCATGTAGATATGCAGTAAGGTTTCGGAATTTTCATTTTCACCCTGGGGGTCAAATGGGGGTCTAAAAATGATGTTTTTTTCTGCAAAAAGCCCCTGGTTCCCTGAACTCCTCTTACATTTTACACAGTAGCCTAATCATCTTTTGGGAGGTGGTTGATGGTGTCATGTAGATGTGGAGCAAGGTTTCGGAATTTTTGTTTTCACCCTGGGGATCAAATGGGGATCGAAAAATGTCGTTTTTTATGCAAAAAGCCCCTGGTTCCCTGAACTCCTCTTACATTTTACGCAGTAACCTAATCACCTTTTGGGAGATGGTTGGTGGTGTCATGTAGATGTGCAGTAAGGTTTCAGAATTTTTATTCCCCCCCTGGGGGTCAAATGGGGGTCGAAAAATGACGTTTTTTATGCAAAAAGCCCCTGGTTCCCTGAACTCCTCTTACATTTTACACAGTGGCCTAATCATCTTTTGGGAGATGGTTAGTGGTATCCTGTAGACGTGCAGTAAGGTTTCGGAATTGTAATTTTCCTCGTGGGGTCAAACAGGGATAGAAAAATGACGTTTTCTTATGCAAAAAGCCCTTGGTTCCCTGAACTCCTCTTACATTTTACACAGTAGCCTAATCATCTTTTGGGAGATGGTTGGTGGTGTGCTATAGATATGCAGTAAGGTTTCGGAATTTTTATTCCCCCCCCATGGGGGTCAAATGGGGTTTAGATTTAGAAAAAAAAAATATTTAACATGTTTAAACCCCCTGGTTCCCAGAACTTCCCCTATATTTTATGCACTATCCTTAAATCATGATCATTTGGAAAATGATTGATTTTGGCCTGTGGATGTGTAAAATGGTTTTAAAATTTGCATTTCCATGTGGATGGCAAATAGGGGCAAGAAAAAAATGACCCCTCCCTAACCCATGGGGTCATGATTTGTACAAACTTGAATCTACACTTCTTGGGAATGTTTCCATATTAATCATGCTTTTGTTGTTCTTGAAAAGAAGAATTTTGAAGATTTTTTTCCCTTTTATTCCTATAAAAAATTTTGATCCCTTATTGTGGCCTGACCCTATCCTCGGAGGTCATGATTTGAAAACTAGAAATATGTCCATAGGACATAAATGCCCCGCCGAATGTATATTACTAAAGCAACATGAAAATTTGTTTGAGTGTATGAAGTTTGAAAAAAAATGGATATAGATGATAAATTCTCACCAAATTATGTATAAGTGCATGCTTACATAAAAATATCTTGGATTGTTTCTTTAAAACTAAGCAAAATACAAATTAAAGAGAAGGGAGGTCAAGGTCACAGGAAATTGCAAGGTGAAAAGTTTTTGATACAGTTGAATAGCTCTCACTAATACATATCAGCATATTAGGTTTGATAAAATATCTTGAATGATTTATTTAAAACTGAGCTTAACATTTATTTGAGAAAAGAGAGGTCAAAGGAAAGGTTGAGGTCAAAATGTTGATACAGTTGAAAAGCTTACATCAGTATGTATTTAGCATTAGCATATGAAGTTTGATAAAAATGTCATAAATGATCTATATAAAACATAGATGAACACTAATTTAAAAAGTGAAGTCAAGGTCAAAGGAAAAGTCAAGGTAAAAAAGTTGATGCAATTGATAGCTCTCAGCAGTATATATCAGTTTATGAAGTTTGATATATATATCTTGAATTGTTTATTCAAAACTGATCTAAGACACTAATTTAAGAAAAGTGAGGTCAAGGTCAAAGGAAAGGTCAAGGTCAAAAAAGTTTATGCAGTTGAAAAGCTTACATCAGTATCAATGTATCAGCACATGACGTTTGATTGAAGTCGGACATGACAAACACTATATGCCTGTAACTGAATGTACATGTAATGTCGACAACGGGAGATAACTCTTCAGAATCCGATGATCTTTGATCCTTTCTAAACTTTTACCTAACCATTTGCATTTCGATTATTTTACCTCAATCAATACTTAAACTTGTACTTACCGACTGTCATAGGTCCTATCAACTTCATGAAATATTATCCAATTAAAACACAAAATGAATTAATTTCTACTGATATACATGTCATGATGTTTACACCACGCTGCACCATGTGCAATGATAATGGTAAGACTAGTACTAGTAGGGTGACGCAAGCCCAATGTGATGTAGAAATTTTCAAAAAGGTGTTCACATACATGTACCGTACAAGAACAAATTTTAAATTATCATAACAAACGATGTTTTAACGTAACTTTGCCATCTAGGCCTATTTCCAAAAACAGGCAATTTGTGTGTGTGCGAGTTGGAGGGGGAGGGGGGACAAAATTGATTGGGTATGGCTTTTCAAGGAGGTTTTTGCCTAACGAAATACTAAATAAAACGTTTTTGACATTTTGATAAATTCATCAATAACGCTATTACTAAAATAATGTTATTTGTTGCTGAGAAAATAGATTTAAAAAGTTCCAATTATGGGCCAAAAATTTATATCCCCCTTTTATCAAAACCTAATTTACATCATTAATTAAATTCTGTTATTTCAGACTGGTAATGAATTAAGTAAAGGAAATACCAATAAGAGGCTCATAGGTCACATGGTCACCTGAGCATTTTATGCTCGAATTGACGAATACATGTACATGTACTGTGTAAATTATAGAATTATTTTGACTTTTTCCTTGGTAAGCCCAATATGAAGGAGTGTGCATTTAGAGGCAAACAACTTAGTGCGGGTATTACTGTCTAGACATGACAGCATCTAGTTAAAACTATGATTACGAAATTCGATGTAAACGGAGATAAAATGAAAAAAACCATTTAGATACTAACATACAATGACACCTTAAAACTACCAGTTTTTTGTCATCTAGTCCGATGCATTATAAAATTGTTATTGATCCATGTTGAAAGAAGATTACTGTTTAAATTGGCCTATTCTAAAAATAGATCCTCTCAATCCAAGTCATGTTTTGCCATATATATATATATATATATATATATATAATATATATATATATATATATATATATATATATATATATATATATATATATATATATATATAGGCGATTTATGAATATGAAGTTTTTACTTAAGATGTCGTATTAAGCAATATTCTATTACCTCACATCCGCAGAGATTCCCTCATATTAAATCAGACATAATTATTAATTTGCCTTATGCATGGTCTGCAGTATTTTGCTTCCTAAAAAACTACTTTGGTTTTCTTCATGATCTTATTTATTAAAGCTATCCGATCAAAAGTATGTGTCCCATGCATAGTGAATTCACTTTAGTCAATTTAAGACACCAAATTAAACGAAATATACAAGTATAAAAGATTAACGTTTAGCATTATAGTTTAACTTTAATTAACTTTTCCTAAATGTATATTTAATCATTAACAAAATAAAGATACACTTGAATATTTGTCAATGAGGTACACAAGATTATCTCCCTGTGTTATAAAGTTTCAGCCTCTGGGAATGCATGGTGGATGGGGGGAACAGATGCAAAATCAGAAGGCACGTTTTACTGGGAACACTCAAACAACACATTGAATTTCACAAACTGGTATAATGGTGAACCAAATGGGGGTACAGGTGAAAATTGCCTGGAAATGTTTTCCGGGGGTGATTGGAATGACAAGTCTTGTAATTCATTTCTTTTCTATATTTGTGAAAAATAGATAAAACAATGAAGAGCTTTTTTTTTTAAGGTTATTACCTACAGAGCCTTACATGGCACTTCTGATATTCTGATATATCTGAAAGTACATGTTTTATATCTAGGAAACATGCCTGACATAACTTAGTAAACTTTATCTACACAACAGTGTTATGAAAATTTGGATTTTGAGACAAAAAACTTTTGAAAACAGTCCATTTTTTTTTTTTTTTTTTTTTTTTTTTTTTTTAATAAAATTCTGATCTTTGGTTCATGTGCATGTATGTCTTTGAGCTTTCAGTTTGAATGCTTGTTAGATAAAATGATATTTGTAAAATTAAACTTTGTCAAAGCATTGGTGAATAAAATACCTTGAAACTATTCTTTGTGTGCGTAATAATCAGTTGAAACATTCACATTATCGATAGAGAAATACAGTTTACAGGATCAACAATTCATGCAATACAAAAAGTATTGCATATTTTGCTTTTACTGTTACTTTAAGTTAACATTACTCTCCAATAATTAGTAAAAAAAAAACCAAACAAAACAAAACAAAAAAGGCACATAATTATAACACGTGCCGCCAACGCCGTTTAAATTTATGACATTCAGCAGGAAATGAGACCTTTCGCTTAATATTAAAAAGCAGCCTGTTTTAATGACTTTTCAATGGCAATGTAGTCTCTGGATAGCAGATACACTCCAGTGACCTTTCAATTACCCCTCAGCCATAATTCAGGCATATTTCAGTCAGCATTCAGCCAACACATTTCAGTTTTACTTCAGTGACCTTTCTGTGGTCTTCAATTGATTTTAGTGACTTTTCGGTTATTATATTCAGAATTATTATTATTCAAAAACTTTTCAGCTTTTCATTGGCATATAAGAATCCATTTCATAACAATAAAAAAAAATATTCATATTTCAAACTGTTCTCCTTAGTGTTTAAAAAAAACTATTCAGAAAGAAATGAGTACAAAATTAATCATTTGTGCCCCTTGTGGAAGTTAATATTGTGATTTCTGTTTCTTAATTAGGGAAATTAAATGATGTTATCTATCTATCTATCTATCTATCTATCTATCTATCTATCTATCTATCTATATATATATATATATATATATATATATATATATATATATATATATATATATATATATATATATATATATATATATATATATATATATATATATATATACGTTGATAAGTTAAATTCTTGGTACAGTAAAAATACTTATATAAATGAAAACAGAATGCTACAGTCCAAATTAAATAAAATCTTTACTGTTAGCGCTTTCAGCCATGTTGGCTCTTCAGACAGTTGTGAAAATTTAAAACGTTGTCAATAACGTTGCTAATGACGTCGTGATAATCTTAGGTATTATGACGTCACAATGAAGTTTGTAGTAGCGGCTGCATGAACTTTTTCAACGCAGTTAAAATACTATGTATAATTAAAGCATAGAAATAATATAAAATCTGTGAACATATAATCTATCATTTGCGATTAAGTTTTGGATTAAACGGTTTTATTAAATAGTCCTCTTTGGTAACTCGGTCGATTTCATCCGATGTCCACATTTTGTAGAACGGAAAAATCTTAAATTTTCCTTTACCACACTCAGCGAAATGTTCTGAACATGGAGTGCATCTGACAGTTCCGTCCCTTATATGTTGTTTGTGAACCCTAACTCGTGCATTGAGTTGATTTGTCTGCCCTATATAATACTATCCACAGGTAGGGCATATTGCACAGTTTATCAAATTTGAAGATTTACAATTCATACTCGTATTTGGTTTTAAAACTTTCCCGTTGTTAAGTTTAATCTTACGTGGGTTATGAGTTATCACAAATGGGATGTTCTCTTCGTCGTTTTCCTCTGGATGGCGACTTTTTCTTAATTGGGTTATTGGTATGTCTTTTGCCCGGTTGATTCCGTCCTCAATAAGGTTTATTGGATAGTTTTGTAGCCTCAGGTGTCGTTTTAATTCTTGGAATCTTTTCAAGCGTAGGGTAGGCTCGGTCACAATGGTACAAATACGTCTGGCCATATTGTATGGAATATTCCTTTTTGTATGTGACGGATGGCGGGAACGAAAGTCCAAGTATTGTGAGTATCTGTTTCTTAACCAATATCCTCTCCGTTTTTTTTATTATGAGTATATCTAAAAAAGGAAGTGAATCACGATTCATGTCATTTGTGAAATTAATTGAATCATGTAATTCATTAATGACCGCATGGAATTTTCTAAGATCCTCTTCACTCTTTGTCCAAAAGATGAAGCAGTCATCCAAGTACCTTTTCCAATTCTCTTTAATGTACTGCGTAAAGTCCAGATCAAACGTTTCCGGTAAAATATTGTAAAGTTTTTCTTCTAGAAATCCCATAACTAAAGAAGCATATCTAGGGGCGACCTTGGTGCCCATGGCAGTACCTTTGATTTGTAGATAATTTTCGTCATCAAAAAGAAAATTATTATTCTCTAGTACAATTCTAAGTCCTTCTAAGATTAAGTTTGCGGGAAATCTATCGTCGATTTCTTCCGGATATTTATCCAACCAATATTTGATTGCCTTAATTCCTAAATCATTCGTAATATTAGTATATAAGCTGGTAACATCAAAACTAACAAGCAGTGCATCTATTGGTACTGTTTGTGGAAGGAATATAGTTGAGGAAATCCATATCATTACGAACATACACTGTAACTGGTCACTTTGGTGCACAGTGGTTTTAAGATTATATCTAGCAGATTGCTTAATCTTTGTGTTCTAGATGCGGGTCCTGCATTGATGGGCGTCAGTTTAAGATCATTTGGTCTAGGAAGTTTTATGTACGTAGAATTATATTTCTTGACATTTTCCTGGATTTCTTTACATTTGTGTATTTTGGGAAGTCCATACAAAAAGGAACATTCCATACAATATGGCCAGACGTATTTGTACCATTGTGACCGAGCCTACCCTACGCTTGAAAAGACTCCAAGAATTAAAACGACACCTGAGGCGACAAAACTATCCAATAAACCTTATTGAGGACGGAATCAACCGGGCAAAAGACATACCAATAACCCAATTAAGAAAAAGTCGCCATCCAGAGGAAAACGACGAAGAGAACATCCCATTTGTGATAACTCATAACCCACGTAACCACAATATTCTCAATTCGGCGAAACGATTTTTTCCAATATTAGAACAACCTGAAAACATGAAAAATTTTCTGGACAAATCGTCAATAATTAACAGCAGAAGACAAGCACCAAACCTGAGGCGGATTTTAACCAAAGCGAAATTTTCCTCTGGCAACCAGAGAGTTGTCAAAAGGTGTGGTGACCCCCGATGTGGAATGCGTGATTTTATTCAGGAGGGCGAACAGATTAAACTTAACAACGGGAAAGTTTTAAAACCAAATACGAGTATGAATTTTAAATCTTTAAATTTGATTTACTGTGCAATATGCCCTACCTGTGTGGAGTATTATATAGGGCAGACATATCAACTCAACGCACGAGTTAGGGTTCACAAACAACATATAAGGGACGGAACTGTCAGATGCACTCCATGTTCAGAACATTTCGCTGAGTGTGGTAAAGGAAAATTTAAGATTTTCCCGTTCTACAAAATGTGGACATCGGATGAAATCGACCGAGTTACCAAAGAGGACTATTTAATAAAACCGTTTAATTCAAAAATTAATTGCAAATGATAGATTATATGTTCACGATTTTATATTATTTCTATGCTTTAATTATACATAGTATTTTAACTGCGTTGAAAAAGTTCATGCAGCCGCTACTACAAACTTCATTGTGACGTCATAATACCTAAGATTATCACGACGTCATTAGCAACGTTATTGACAACGTTTTAAATTTTCACAACTGTCTGAAGAGCCAACATGGCTGAAAGCGCTAACAGTAAAGATTTTATTCAATTTGGACTGTAGCATTCTGTTTTCATTTATTTAAGTATATATATATATATATATATATATATATATATATATATATATATATATATATATATATATATATATATATATATATATATATATATATGCGTGGCATAGGGAGTTGATCCTTACGTCGTGGGCTCGAATCACACTGCGGGACGTGGAGACACCGTATAAACCAAATCCCGTGTGGCAGTATAGGTTCTGGCACGAAAAAAAAAATTGCGTCTCCACATGAGTGTAAAATTCTTGAGAGGGACGTTACACAATAAATCAACAAAAAAATAACATCGAAAAATAAATTTTCAAAAGGAAAAAGAAGTTATTGCCGTCCTATGTTGGCATTGTTTGAATTGCCTTTTCAAAGGTCTCCTTGTAATGAGTTAATATATGTAATGACAGTCGTAATAACAGATAATCATATCGTTATCACGAGATAGCTTTAAACTATTCATGACTGAAAATAACAAGTTTTTTTAAGCGATTAATAAAGGTAAGGGTTATTGCTCTAACGCGAACGGAGTCTGATGATAAATAAATCCATATATTTCCATTTCTAATTGATTTTTGTGATAACTCTTTGAAAGTTAGGTGAATTGATTTCTTAATCATTCAACAGAATGTTAATTTCGCTAGGTGAAAGGTCCAGAGCTTACATGTATGTGCATGTCAATCTCGTGCAGCTGTGTCTGTGTCTGACGTCAGCGGGTTGGGTCTATTGAAATTAACATGCTAGGCCTCCTGTATTTAAAATTTATTGGAAAGCATTTTTTTATTCATATTTACAATTTTATTTCACATATAAAGGTAAATATAAGGAAACACTGTCTAGTTTGTTGGGTATACCAGAGGCATCAACGATAGCTGGAAACGTGGGATAATATGCATAAAGGGCTTCGACAGTTATGTAAATTATCCCACGTTTCCAACTCTCGGTGATGTCCTGGCATACCCAACGAACTAGACAGTGATTCTTTAAATCTTTTTCGTGATAGGGTTTAGCAATGTTGTTTTTTTTTTAGTTGTCTTGCTTTTTGAGAATCATATTTTATTAGAAAACCAA